GGAGAAATGATGAGGGTCTAACCTGGAGGGATTGGGAAAGAAAGGACAGATTCAAGAGTGAGGAGACAGATTTGACCAAATTGGCAATTGATGAAGTGTGGCATTGAAAAAGAAAGAGCAGCGCGGCCTCTGAAGATTCTAGCATAGATGCTCAGGAAATGGTACTGCACTTACTCCATTAGGAACAGGAGAAGGGACTGCTGGGCAGGGAGCAGGTGGCAGATGCCATTTCCCCCGCTTCCCCATTTGTCCCGGGTTAGGAGGTAGATTTGACTCAAGGGTACTGTGTGGACCTAAGCTTTGGTTTCTTGCTTTTCTTCTTGAATCCAAGTGCACAAGCTAAATCTGGATCATTCAAAGCTCCTCTTCTTGTAGCTCTATTTGACTAACCTTGTCCTATTCCCTCTGTGACTAACAGGGACTTGGCTGCTTAGCCCAGGCTGGATGTGTCCCTGCTCCTCAGAGAGGGCATCTCTTCTTCTGCCCCCTTCCCTCTTCCCTCTGCAGAAGTTGCACGAAGCTTATCCTCCGAGCCACCCAAACACCTGTACAGAAGTTGTATGCTTCTTGGCATTTGGACCCTGTGTGGTATGAGCTTAGTCCTCCCACTCTCAACCATGGTCATGTCACACAGTCTCCAAAACCTTCTTCCCCCTGCTCTTCTGGGCCCTATTCCCTAATCAGCTACCCCTTACAGCCTGTCCCTGCTGCCCGGCCCCAGTGGATGAATAGGCTAGATTTGGGGAAATTTTCCTGCAGCTGATCAGTGAATATGCCTGTTTATAAACCAGGGTATTGGAAATGTCACACCTGCTGGAGAAAGTGAGGAGCCCTCACCCAGCCCTGAAGCCATTATTGATGAGGCATTCCTTTATCCCAGGGTGACATTCACCCAAGTTCCCTTGTGGCTATAACCTGACCTTCAGCTATAGTTATTTGGACCCTTTTTATGTACCATTAAAACACACACACACACACATCCACAGGCATGCACAGTTTTAAGCTTTTTTGTTTTTTAAATGAGAACACCCAGTGATAAGAAAACAAGCTGTCAAGAATTTGTCTTTAAAATACAATAATGCAACTTCCAATTGGGGGTTGGTACAACTTCTACTCATGTTCTCACACCTTGTGTAGCTGTAAGGCTGCGTTGTTAGTGATAGAGATGGCTACGGTGAGGACCCCAAGGCATTGAGGTGTTTTCAATCAACAGTCTTCAACTAACACCGACCGAGCCGTTTCTAGGGGTCAGCACTCTACTAAGTGTGGGCTTCAAAAGTGAGGCAGGCCCATCTTTGCTTCTCAGGATTATACAGCCCTTTGGAGAGAATCCATCCATGTGAGCAAGTAATGGTGACAGGAGGGCTGTCACAAAGCCATGCACACATGGAATAATGGAAGGCCTGGTCTTGGCAGATGGTCCACTACTTGGCCTTACCACATGGTTGTTTGATCATGCAGAAGCCCTTATCCAGGGAGATTCACCCTGGTTCTTAGAGGTGGTTCCTCTGGTGTTGGGATAATAGGCATCCACCTTCACTGACAGCAGACACCCCTTCCCTTTCATAAAAGGATCAAGATTCCTATGGAAACCTGTTCTATCTCGGGGATGCTCCTAGCCCTTTCTGTCAATTTATAAAGGCCTTAGGCAATGAGACTGAGGAAGGGGAACCCAGGACCCTAGGTGAGCCAGGTGTGCATTCTTAGAGCTGGAGATGGGCTGCAGCACTGGATGACCCCTAACTCCTTCCAATCCTGACATTCATTAATTTTATGACATATCTGTTGGTATAATATTCCCACCATTTTATTTGGGTTCATAATATGCATTTCTCTGAAAACATTTTAGGTAACATTCCCCAAATGGTGTTCTGTAGAATGTCATTGCAAATCACTCATGATTTTAGGGGGAAAAGTGTTCCATAGTCAATATGTTTGGAAAGTTTGGGGTTAAACAAAATTAAACAAGCTCCTTCCCTGCGGGTCTCCTTTCAACCTTTAATGTGCTTTCATGTGTGTCGTGAATATCGAAAAGGCAAATATACTATGCAATGATTTCTAACCCTATTTGAACATGAAAACCTTGTTTTCATATAGTTTCTAGTTCCTTCTGGAAAGCTGATATCCTTGGGAACACACTTGGAGGAATACTGGTGCAGAGGTTTTCATTGTATATAAGTTAGTGGGGGCAGCTGTTTCCCATATTCTTTTAGAATAGCACCAGGACAGTCTAAGTTTAGATATAAAGAAGAATTTCCTAACTGTCAGGATGCTTGGAGAGTAGAATCCTACAGTGTCCTGGGAAATTGCAGTAAAAGAACATGCCACCCCCTTTCTTGTCCTTCTGCAGGGCTCTCCTATGAGTCATTATAAATAGAATGAATCATGAAGGAAACTCCTGGAATCTTTTTATCTTAACAGGCCTTTGAAAATAGGAAATAGGATGTAGTTGAGGGGATAAGAAGGTAGGAATTAAAAAGGCAGGAAGACAGACTGGGTGACTTCTGGATGGACTGTCTCTCAGTGTCTGTAATTAACTCGTTCATTTTCATTGTGCCCAGAACACACATTGAAGGAAATACCTTCCTCACTCAGTTTTCTAAGGCAAGTGAAAATAAAGAAGGAGAGGGCCCGATGTCACCTAAAGTCTCGTGGAAGTCTTTCAGCGACTATCATACACTAAAAATTCTCCTTTGTCAGATGTAATGTTAAGCCTTTACAGAATCTTATTTGTTCCTTGAAACAGCCTAGAAGGCTGCTAATATTCTTGCACCCTTTTTGCAAAATGCAGATCTGAAGCCCACAAAGATTAAAGGCCCTGCTGAAGGTCACACGTCCAGTACAGTGAGGAAGCGGGATTGGATGCAGAAGCCCTTATCCATTCTGTCCCCCTTCACCACTGTGAGTCTGTGGACACCCAAGACTTTCTTGAAATGGCCCTGCAATCACCAGCCTATGTGCAGGGAAAGCGCGGAGATGGGATCATGTGTCTGCCTACATTGATAAGGAAGCCAGGAAGAGAGGACATTTTTCAGCCCCCACCATCCACGGCCAGTGAGGCCCCTTGGTTTCCCGACAACAGCCTGGCTCTGTGCCCTAGTCACCTCACCCTTGCCAAATGCATCTCTTCTCATTATCCATCTGCCCCCTCACGCCTGCTGATAGCCCACAGCGCATGGGCAGCTGCCCTGTTAGAGAGACAGGATATAATATCAGCTTATGAATCAATACATTCTCTGGCACATCCGTGTTCCCCTAATGGGAGTGTGGCAGGATCCAAAACACACTTAATCTGCATCCAACTCCACTCTGTCAGGAGTTGGTGGCTCCATAGGAGTCTTTGTAACTCCACTCTGCAGGCTGAAACCAGTCAGGCTGGGCTCTAGGCAGGTGAGCTCGGGCCTGCAGCCTGAGGCCCTGGCAGTAGCTGTGGATGGCAGTGAGAGAGCAAAGGAGATGCCAGGGGCTGGAGGAGCTGTCTTCAGAAGGGAGACCACCTGAAGGAGAGCGGTGTCTCCACCTGGCCAGAAAGTAAGCCCCAGGCACTTGCCATCTGTCACATCAGGTTGAATGGGTTATTCCTAGGGTTTGTAAGTACCGAGAGCCTATGGGCTGCAGAGATGGCATAAATGTTCAAATAAACGTGATGAGTGTGATTTTGGTCTGAGATGGCCTGACCTGCCTTTGAAGGCATTTTTCCAGGAGTGGGGATTAGCAAGCTAAAAAGTCAATATTCTCTTGCCTGATTTTCTTGTATCAGGCCAAGTGGGACCTTGGAGGTCCAGGGCTCTGAGCTCAGAGGACTCTGCCTCTGTCTGTAACACTCACCAGCCTGAAAGGCATGAACACCTGCAGGCTCATGTGTGGTCAGGTGATTGGATGAGGACCTTGGGTTTCTGGAAGAACTTCCTAGAACTTATAGATGTCACTGCTTCTCAGATGGGCTTCTTTGGCCACCTCATCTAATGCAGCAGCCCCCAGGCCCCATAGCTATCTGAAATGATCACAAATTTATTTCCTTACTCGACGTCCTTGAGAGCAGCTATTCATGTCCTCTATGCCTAAAATAGTGTCTGGCGCATGAAAAACACTTAAAAAAATGTGTTAAATGAATGAAAAAAAAAATAATGACAAGGGAAGGCACAGACTGCCTGCAGAACTTCAAGTTGGAATTCTTCAAAAGCAAACTCGATTTTAACACTCTTCTGTTGACAGTCTCCTTGCACCCAGACTGAGGTGACTGCAGGACAAAATGTGAGCCCCCTAGCCTGGCATCCAGGCCTACAGAATCCAACCCCAGCGGATGCCCCCAGCCTCATCTCTCAGCATTCCTCCCCCAGATCCCTGGGAGGAGGTCCTTTGTGCTCATCTGGTGTCCCCTGTACTTTGGTGTGCAGGGACCTACTGATAAGGCAGCCTCCTGGGCCCCAGCTCTAGAGATGTATACTCAGGTGGTGGCAGGGGGTGCAGGAGTTGTCCCTTTTTAAAAAGACACCTGGGTGGTTCATCAAAAGATGGTTGGTGGAATCAGTCTGAGGAGCTGTGCTTTCGTCAGGTGCACTGTGGGCAGCTCACTGAATGACCATGTACTTTGTCACCTCTGTGCTTTTGTCTGCCTGGAGATTTCAAGGCTGGGATAGTCTTTATCCATCCACATTTTCCACCTGGAAAAAGTCTACATATCCTTTAAGGCTCAGCTCAAGTGTCCTGCCTCCTGTGGACGCAGTCCTGCCTTCACCAGGCACACGTGTCTGATGATCCTCTCTCTCCATCCTGTGCATCATGTAAATACTTGGCTTAGAGTTCATTCTGCTCATTTCTCTTTTTCTCCCTTGCACCCCAACACAGTGAGCTTCTAGACCCCTCGACCCCTAGCATCCAGCAGAGCGCCTTATGTTTACTGGACTAGAGTGAGGTCCCTGGATGTGCTCCAGCGTGGTCCCCCCCTCTTCCTCCCCTCCTAACTGTGTTCTCTATTTCTGACTGCTGGGTCTTTTCAGGAGTTCTCACTCCAGAGAATGGACAGCCTTGTGGATGATCGTGTCAACATCCTGGGATTTTCCATTTTCAACCAATCCCATGCTTTCTTCCAAGAGTTTGCCCAGAGCCTCAATCAGTCCTGGCAGGAGAACTGTGACCACGTGCCCTTCACTGGGCCTGCGGTAAGTGTCCCCCAGAGTTCCTCCCTGGAGCTCCTGGGCCTCCACCTGCACCCCACTATGGGCTGACACTGGGAAACAAGCCCTCTTAGAATCCAGCCTTCTCCCTTTTCCAGTCCCAGCTCGGAAAGATGTGTGTGGGTCTGCTGGGAAATGGGTCTAGAGATAAGGTCTGGGAAGTGGTGAGCTTAGAACACGCAGCTGGTTCACAGGGCAGCAAGGGAAGTCATGTGGAGGCACCGAGCTCTCTTTTCCGATGTCTGCAAGTCTCCTGAGGCAGAGTCTCCTGTAATGCTGTTGCTGGGGACTGTCTGAATTTAGTATCCAACAATCTCACTATTAAAGGGCCTTTCGGAGCTGATCAGCTCCCTCATTTCTCAAACAAGGAAACTGAAACTCAGGCTGGGAATAGAGTGGGGAGTAGGGATGAGTCTTTTGCAGAGGGAAACTGGATTCTGAGATTCCTGGCCCCTGGTTCAGTGCTCTTTCCACCTCACAGAGCCACTGCCCTGAGTAGTTCATCCAGGGAAGCTTCCTTTCTGTCCTCTCCACCCCATATTCATGTCCCCATAGTACCTTCTCTGAACTGCATGCAATGGAGGCAAACCCTTCACTTGCCATTCTCCACAGGGTTGATCATTCTTACTCTGAGGCAGGTCAGGCATAACTGTTGTGTCCGTTGGTTAAAAGTCGAGTTCTCAGAAGCCTGGGATCATGTGGCTTTCTGACCCTGTCCTAGCCAGATTACATGCACCATTTCATTTGAAAAAGCCCTTGTGCTGGCAGCTCATGTGGCATAACCTGAGGCAGCTCATGGGATGCTCACCACAATATTCTGAAGCAACTGCTCTCAGTATCTCCAACTTACTATGGTAAAACTGGGGCCCAGAAAGGTTGAGTAACTAGCCCAGAGTCACACAGTGAGCAGAGGAACTAAGTTCAGAACTCAGGCTTCACTATATAGGTTTACGGTTTTCCTTTCAGCCACAGTTCCATTTTGCCTCTTTCTAGGATCACCATTTCTTTACCACACTGCACTGTCATTGAGCCTAAAAAAATGAAAGTAGCTAATAAGTATTTGTTGAATGAATGAATAAGTCAGGCAGAATGATGAGTTAGAGATAGAAAAACATGAAAAAGAATTAGGCCTAGAAGTTGGCCATGGGGTATCCTCCTGGAGTGGGAAGTTCTCTGCTGGGCTCTTAAAGCCGTGCCTGTCTTTGATAAGATATGCCTAGGGGCAAAGCTAGGTCTAGAACACGCAAGCTCAGTGCCTAGTTAGTGGTGGTGGTGTTGCAGGGTAGGGCGGCTGGGGCAGGGCGTGGGCATAGTGGCCTTTCACAAGACCCTGTGTAGCCTGGTGGGACTCTTAGGAAGAAAGGGGTAGCTGAGGGGGTCAGAGCTCATGAAGAACTCAGGAAGCTTTGATCCAAGGAAGCAGATGGAAGGTTTGTGGAATGTGTCCCAACAAGCTATTTTAGACCTGAAAGAAGTAAGGATCCATAGGAAGGGTTTGGGGAGGGTGACCTCTGAAGGAAGAGGGTCCTCACCCTGTTAGATGATTTAAGGGCCAGTGAGGATGCCCTCAAGCACATGTGTGCAGGATGTGTCATCCCCCCTGCTGAGTGAGAGGTTCTTGTAGGCCACTAATACTCCAGTGGCATGCTGATGACCTTGAAAGGCTCCCAGCAGGACATCAGGAAAGGGGAAAAAAATCTGCCTCCTCCTCTCCAGCCCAGACCTTACCTCCTTCGGCTTCTAGCCCAGTGAAATTAAAGGTCCCCATGTCATTTTCCAGTTTCTCTCCTAGGGTTTCAACCCTGTCATTCTGCTCACATTAGCCAGCAGCAGGCATATAAGATGACCTTAGTACCCACTAGGATCCTTCATAAGGACCTGACACAGAAGCCAGGCAGAGCCTTGCACAGAGCTGCCGGGCCAGCTCTAACTGTGGTCACACATGCTGCAAAGACTACTGGCCTTGGAGGCACAGGGCCCAGATTAAGAATAGCCTCTCCGTTTTATTGCTGTGTGATCTTAGATAATTGTGTGACCCCTCTGGACCTTGTATTCTTTATCTGTGATATTGGGCTAATTAATTAAACTTGACCATCTTAGAAGAACATTGAGAAGATAAAATGAGATACAATCCTATCTTTAATTCACAATTACTCATTGAATAAGTTTATTTAACAATCTATATGCCAGATGTTGGGATAGACGTTAGTAAATATATCAGATAGCTTTTGCTACATAAATGCCGTGTAACAACCAACCACGTAATCTTACTAGCAAACAACACTGCACATTTATATAGCTCATGCATCGGGGGCTCAACTGGGGATCATTTCTTCCAAGCTGGCCCAGGAGACAAACATGGGTTTACTGATCTCAGCTGGGCCTGCCCAGACAGCTCTGCTCCACATGCTTCTCATGATGGCAGAGGGGCAGCAAAACAAGTGGAAACCCATAAGCCCTCTCAGACCTAGGTCTGCAGAACACACACTGTGACTTCTTCCACCTCTTTTTTTTTTTTTTTTTGTAAATATAAAAGACAGTATAAGTGCATTTTTAGTTTGTAAGTTCTTTTCCCCTCATTTTTCTGATAGAAAAGACAGCTGCATAATGCAGCAATTATAACTTACTGGGCCTAGAATACCTACAGGTGACAATAAGATGATAAAGTATAGAGAATAAGATGCTATATTAGAGAAATTTTCTATATACTATTTTTTTTCTAAGAAGAAAGATGATTATTTTAATAATTCTTTTAGAAAACAAATAGCCCCTGTTTCAAACCTGCCCTGCCAGGATTTTACTTTTGTCATAGATGTACATGACAGTAGAGTGTATTTTGACGAATGGTACTTACAATGGAGTATGAGTTATTTCTAATTAGGATCCTGTTCTTGTTGCACCTGTTTTGTTCACCAAAAAAACACATGTGGACAAAGTCAGAGAGTGAGGAACTGTAGTCTTTCCTTTTAGACGGTGAAGGAATATCACATGCAAAGGGCCTGAATGCCTGGATTCAGGGCTAGGTGAGGAAATGGGGTTCATTAGGCAGTGCAGAGGTGGGGAAGGGCCAAAGCTGCTGTTTGATCTCCAAGGTGCACCCTGGGGAGTGGATCCACCTCCACCTCTAGGAAAACGCTCTGGAGACACATGACTCCTGCAGGAAAGGCAGGGAATCCCTCCGCCTGTAGAGGCCAGGGAAGCCTTCCCAGAACAGGGAAGCCAATAGTCGTGAGCAGCACAGCACTATTTTGGCCTACCATGGGTCACAGAACAGCAGTGTCCTATTGTTATACCATGCGGTGACTTGGTGATCATCTTGGTTTGTGTAAGTGTCCTCTGTGATGGTCACACAGTGACGGTTGACTAATGATGCACTTGTCAGAACATAACCCCATCGTGTTCTGACATATAACTTGACTTGCTTCTCATTTTCTGTGTATAAGACAGTGGGCAGGGTATGCAGCTTCGGGGCCAGAGCTGCCCTACTCAACGGACCTGGAGAGGCTGTCCCATGGCGTGGAAGCTGCTAGAGCAGTGTAAAAAGATAGAAACCCTAGCCTCATCTGTTTCTTTCAGTTCCGTTCTCAGACCTCCATGGCCTCCACAGCTCATGTTCCCAGGATGTCTGGGGGGCTTTGGGCATCTGGGAGTGCTCTCTGGAGGTTCCATCCCCTGCAGGGATTGAAAGCTGTGGCCTTACTGGAGGCCTGGAGGGGGCTGGTAGGAGGAGGACCAGGCAGCCTCAGACCTGGACCACCAGGTCCCTCTGGTTGTACCCCACTCGGCTTTCTCCACCCAGCCCTCCTGTTTTCTGGCTGGTCACATGTTGCTCAGGAGCCTGGGGCACTCATGGTCATGACTTTCACCTCCACACAGAGCTACTGTAGCACTCCCCAGAAAATTACCCAGCCATGACCTTTTTTCCTCTTTGTGGCATCCTAGTAACAGTTAAGGGCAGTCATGCAGCCCTTTATGACAAATGAGGAAACCGAGGCACCAAAGAGCCAGGTGGCACCTAAGGGTCACCCCCGGGGTCCACGCTTTAACACAGCCTGAACCAGAAGTTGAAATCTCTCCCTTGGTGCCAGAGAACCTTCCAGCCAAGTCTCTGTGATGGCCTCTGAGGGGGATGGGAGGTGTTACAGACACTGTCACCTCAAAGAGAGCGCAAGGGAAGCTCACAGCAGTGACAATAGGGGCAGATCTCTCTCTAGCTTCTCACTTTAGCAGCCTACCTTTTGAAAGGCATCCTCTTCCTGTCTGTCTGGGGGCTGAGAATTCCCAGCACAAACAGCCCAGCTCTTTCCTGACAGAGAGCTGGAAGGCGAGGGAGTTCCAGGAACACACAGCCTGGTCTGCCTCCCCCATCCTGCTCTGTGAAAACACTGCAACCCGCTCCTGCCTGGTGGGATGGTCTCATTCCTCCCCCCCTCCTCCCTTCCTCGCCCTCCTCCTCTCCCTTCTCTCTCCATCTCAGGCCCATGCTCTTTCTTTGCCTGCTCCCATATTCTCCCTTCACTCCCCCCTTTCCCCCTGTGATCTCCTTTCCGTCTCCTACTCCAGATGTTCCCCACTGTGGCATTTTCTCCTTTCCTTTTGTGTGTGGGTCTCCCCCTCCCCCCGCCCCACTTTCCATATTCCAGGTGGAGCTTGCAGGACAGGGAGCCCAGGTCTAAGGGCATCAGTGGAATGGAGTGTCTGGAGCCAAAGGGAACCAGGGAGGGAACTCAGGGTAGCCTCCCCTGCAGCAGGACCTGCCAGGTGGCCCACAGCAGTCTGCAAAGATGCGTCCTGCCTGCAGGGGACCTAGCAAACAGAAAAGGGAGTGTCATGAGCGGAGACACACACCCACTAGTTTCATATGCCATTCCCATTAATCACGCTGCAAAGAACGAAAATCGTGGGAAATCATCAAAATTACAGATGGCTAGATTAAGTAATTAGAATTTAGGCTAAAGCAGATGTTTGTAATTAAGTGTTTATTT